AACTACACCTTCTTAACACCTCTTAAAACCACTGAGTCTATAAGAGAGCAGCTTCTCTTTTCTGCCCACCAAATCAGAAAGGTTCTGCTCAGATTTGCTAATAAACCTGCTTGGGCTGTTGAGTTCACATCCTGCCTCTCCCTTCTCTCATCTGGTGTTTAAAGATGGAGTCAGGAACAGAGACGACAAATATTCTCTTGCAACCCAGGAAGCGGTGGGCAGAGGCAGCTGGTACCAGGCTAACTCTAGGATCCTGAGTGTTCTCCCATTCCTTTCCTCTTGTACCCCCTAAAAAGCACTTGGGAGTAGTCCAAGCCCCAACTGCCTGATTAGGCAGTCAGCCTTTTCTTTCCTATCTCCCTTAACCTTCAAGAACTCTAGTCCAGGACCTCCTTGCCAGACCTCACCCAAAACATCCAACACTGACTTGATTCAACTGCCATTCCCTGGAAGGGGAAGCAGGACCTTCTCGAACCTCCCTTGGCACCCAGAAAGTTCCAATCTGCCATCCCACTTTTCCCTTCCCTTTTCCTCAACAGTTCTTTCCGAGGAGAAGGGGAACAAGGGGAACAGCCCCTCAGCAGTGAGAAACTCTAGGAGCTTACAGACTCTGGTCTTGAATTATTTCCTATTCAAGAAAATAGGGAGACACCCTGGGGACCAAGTTCCTGACCCTGGCTGGTTTTCTGGCCCTTTTGGGATGGTCAATCAGTCCCTCAAAACTTTCAGGAGACAGTCCCCTGGTTTGCCTCCTCCATAATCTCTCCCAGTTGGGCCTCAGGGAAAATATCAAACCCAAAAGACTATTTAGACTGGCATTGGGAAACAAGGTGCAGGTGCCTCCTTGGGCAGTTCCAGCTGTTTGTAACTCTAATTATTGCTGACTCCATGGTACATTCAATGTATTTGTTTTCAAAAATACAAAACTGTCTTTGTATCTTTGACTTCAAAGATACAAAACTGAAAAACATCTCATCATAATGGCAGCTTCCAAGCTAAAGTTGTTTACAGTGATAAACTTTTAGGCTCAAATATCTGATTTTCCTTGACTAGTGTTATAGGTATTGGTGATGAGATTTGCATACCAATTCATTTAATACAAAGATGCCATTGTTATGCTAAAATGTTATATTGCCCTTAATTTCAAGTTTTCTCTATAGAACTTTATCTGTTCACAGTCTGCAGGAATTCAACTTCTAAGACATCCATGATTGATCAGGAAATGACAGTTCCCTAGTCAATGTGCCTGCTATCTACAGAAGAAAATGATCTCCTGGATGTTCAACAACTTAGATTCAGAGACTGGAGCAAAAAATGGTATCTGGCTTAAGAGGACAGCCAATAATATTTTGGCCCTAGTCCTCAACAAGTGTCAACAGGGGATCTCTCTAGAGGATCCTACAACTTTGGTGAGTCAAACCTCTTAAACATAGAGATTGTTGGAGCCCAGAGGACAAAAGTCAACCAATGTAACAAAACAGAAGGTCACTGGCCATGCTTCCATGGAAAGCAACATCGCCAAGCAAGACTGCAATCCATTTCAGTGACACTGAAAGAGGAGCTGAGAAGCTTTGTACCTGGTTCCAAAAGTAATGGCTGAGGGAGCTCAACTGACACTGACAGAAAACAAGACGTTAATCTCGACACAGGTGTCGCTTGGATTTGGTCTTGAACACTCAGCAGAAAAGTATAGCTCGAGACATAAAACTAATACACAAGATATAAAAAGGAAGCTCCAATCACTGACCCCTGCTGACAATTTTCCGCTATACCTATAGATAGCTCTAAGCGCGAGATGGTTACAATTGCTATTTCAGTCCCTTAAAAACAGTATCTGGACATGATTCCTTTTCCAATCTGTCTATTCTAGTACTCCTACTTCAAGCTCTTGTAAAGTTTGTTTATTCTCACCCAAAGACTGCCAAACTCAGCGTCATCATACAGAAGGAACCAACAGTAAAAGTGCCTGGGATTCACTGCACCCACACAAAGCCAACCCAGGAGCACCCCAGGTTGCTTGTTCTGATATTAGGCTCTCAGGATGCAAAGAGGAATCTGTGAGACCCTCAAGCCCCTGAGCTTCCAGATTCATCACAGGTCCATCACAGTCAGGCCTACACCAGGCCCCTGGGTCCACTCTCTATAACCAGACTACAAAAAAACCCCTACTTTTCCAGTAAGCTCTGTTACCTTCCTCCTGTCAAACTACAATCCAACTCCTCCAAACTTCTGGTCACTATAATGTTAATCATCTAGGGGAAAAAATCATCTAGGTTTCCTCTTATGAGTATCTGGGTATACTTGCTTTCAAAGCAATTCAAACTACACCAAATCCAAATAGTTCTAGAAGGAAGGATTTCCTAAAAGACAACTTGCCATGGCTTGTGTCTAGATATCCCCTCAAAGCCTCATGTGGTCCTAAGTGGGACTTTTTCAGAGATACTTAAATCTAGAGTGTGTAAGGGTATGTGATTGCTAAGTCAGTCCAGATAGATTTGGCACCATCATAATGCCAGTAGACTATATAGAGTATAAAAGGGGCAGAAAGAACCTGGTAAGGCCCCTTACTTGTTTTCCTACCTTCTGCTCACAGGGAAGTGTTTCTCCTCTGCGATGCCTGTCTGCCACACCACCCTGCCTTGGAGCCAGCTGATTATAAATAGAAACATCTACAAACCATGAGCTAAATAAACCTTTCCTCCCTCAACTTTGGGTGGTGGGCATTTTGTCTCAGCAATGACAAAGTAAGACAAAATCTGGTACCAGAGAAGTGGGGGTAGCTGCTGTGACTATACCTGACCATGTGGTTCAGGAGCCTTTGGGACTGGCTTATGGGAAGAGCTTGGACAGGTTCTGAGATGCTAGCTGAAAAAACAGAGCAATATTTATGCAGTACTTGATGGGAAATTCTAGTCAGAGCTCAGAAAACCACAAGACTGATATAATAAATCCTTCCTAAAAAGACAAGACTTGGAAGGATTCTGTGAGCCAAATAAACCTTTCCTCCTCTAACTCTGAGCATTGGGTATTTTGATTCAGCAACAAGAAAGTAACAGGCACCACTTTAGCCATGGGCGCCACTCAGCGATGCAAATATCTTGATATGCCTGAGGGCTGAGTCTTCTTAAATTAAAAGCTTGCTGCTCTTAGCCATGATGGCCCTACAATATTACTGGCAGCATCACCTTTCTCTCTCTGACAGTTGCAGCCTTTAGTTCCTTTCATACATCACCTATACAAGGCTGCCCAATACCTTGCCCACAACCCACATCTTGTTTTTCTCCTCCTTGGTTTGACCTCTCTGAATGTCTCTCCCTAGATTCTGGTGGCTTTTAGATATGTGGTACCTAGACATAGGCTTTCGCATAAACTGGATAGGTGCTGGCATAACGGGTCTTCTCTCCCACCATTAATATGGCCAGGAGATCTAAGTCTGTTTAACCTTCAGTTCCCTGGGTGGAATGGTCAGATTACCAAAACAGGGAATCAGAAATCCCCTGCTAAATCTCCCAGAAGTCTGTAAGGGAGCTCTCTTCTGCCTGCCAGATTAGCAAGAGCCCTGTCAGGTTTGCTCATAAACTTGCTTGGACTGTTGGGTTTTGTCCTGCCTCTCTCTCTTTTCAATAGTAAATCACACTGATTATAAGAAGCCTGTGTTCTGCAGGGGGACTACACTGAGCTAACAGTGATGCAGACCATAGAGCACCTGAGAAACCATGGGACCAGACACGCAAGTTTCCCATGACTTTCTATGTCAGTTCTAGCTCTGTTTTCTAGATTCTTCCACAATACTAAGGAAGCCACAGATGGGAAGTCTGGTAATAGAATCTTCCTATAATTCTTAAGTCTATAGTTTGCTTGCTTGTTCATCTTTTTATCCAAAGGATTAAGGATTCTGCAATTTTTTTTTTGTTTTATTTTTCCTGGTGTTTATTATTATAGCAGTTTTGTTTTCTTAAATTTGAAAAATCTTAAGATTACTAATTCATTTAGACTTTGAAAAACAGAAAGTCTCCAATATATTCAAATACAGGAGGTATCTTTTAACAGTTTTTCTTTTAAACTGAACCCTCTATCTTCCAGCATTTTGTTCACTTTATACTTTTCTCCCCTATCAAGTTTCCCCGTTAATACAGTTATATTACTGTTTTGGAAACTTTATGACTTATATTTTGCCTTTCCTC